AGATCATTGCTTTCTAGCTTTCACCCTCCACCCAAATAGCTACCTGCACTCCTACTCCCATGGCTTAGCGCAGTGTTGTCCAACTTGGCCACTTTAAGAGGAGTGGACTTCAACTCCCAGAATTCCCCAGCCAGCATGGCTGGCTGAGGAATCCTGGGAGTTGAAGTCCACTCCTCTTAAAGTGGCCAAGTTTGGACAACACTGGCTTAGCGGATCTGCTTCGGCCTCTAACCACTGGATTGATTGATGATGTGCCTTCAAGTTGGTGTCGACTCTTAGCGACTACATAGATAGGCAGATTTGCTGCATGTTAACACTGATATACGCCCCCATTTTTAGACTCACTCGCAGCTTCCGTTCCAGCTGCCGGATCTGTTGCTCTGACACAAAACTGGGGCTAACCCCGCTGCGGGGCTTCATCGCTTGGAACCGGACCGTCCCGCCCAGTCGAAGCAGGCGGAGCCCCCCCCATCCCCTCTTCCCCTTTCACCGGCCGACCCCCCCCCCCCCACCGCGCTTCCAAGGAAAGCCATTTGAACCATCCAATCACAAGCCAAGACCAAGCTTCTCGGGGGTTGCTATAGCTACCCGCCCGGCATTCGCGGGACTTCGAGAGGGAAGGCTGGCGAAGTGTGGCGCGCGCCTTCTTGCAGGAGCTCGGGGATCGAAAGGCTGTTTGCAATACCGCCAGCCTTGAAGAAGCCCCCGCATCGCCCTCCGTCGCAGTATTTGCCTTGCAAGTAGATGATGAGTATTTCCATATGAGGCGTGTTTTCCCCCTGCCTAACGGAGAAGGAGCTGAATACCGTGGAAAAATAGGTCAGAGATATGGACCAACTAGGCCTGAGGCACCTCAGCATTCCCTGGCCTTTTTCTTTCTCCATAAACCTCGGCCAGCTCGTCGGCTGTCGTAAACCAGGAAACAGAGAGGCAGTCTCGCTGCTGGTGCAAGCGAAACCCGATAATATTAAAAGGAAAAGCATTCCCACGAGCTGTAGTTTGCAGTAGCTCGCAGGACAAGGTTCCACAGCAGCGCTTCAGGTTTTATTCGGTGCAACCAACTACTGTACGTAATTTGCAGCTCTAGCCTTACGCCCTTTTCCCCCTTGGAGGAAAACAAGCAGATAAGCTCTAGGGATGTTTCTGGTTTAAGAATTAACTGTGCCTACCCCAGTTCAGTGGGGTGCTGGAGAATACAGTAAAATTAACATGTTGGTTTTGAGTTTAATCTTCCCTTCAAGCTGGCATAGTAGAGCAAAATTATAAGTATATAGGCAGTTAACTTCAGTTTTAAAAACTATTCTTAAATATGCTACAGATTTTTGTCTTGGAGTCATTTCATTTGTCTTGGCGTTTTCCCACATTTTCAGAGTGGTCCCTCTCAGGATTCTGAAAGCCACAAGATTGAGGTAGCTACACAAGAAACTAATATGCATGTCCACAGTGATGGTCAACCCACCTTGCGGCAATGCGGTAAACCACCTTGCGGTAAACACGTTCAACAGTGAATGTTGTATTTCTCATTTGCAGCACATATAGGTACTTTTACAAAACTCTACCATAGGAGGTAACAATGTGTTCCTAGTATTATTGGAGAGCTTCTGGTATTAAGAAATGCTGACTCATTGCAACAATCTGTACACAAGTGATAATTTACTACAGTTCTTATATTGTGCTCCTCTAAGTTTCCTAATATCTACATACCCTTAAAACTCTAAGTATGCCCACAGACTGAAAAAGATTGGAAACTCCTTTGTAACACAGGGTCTCCCTCTGTATACTTCAGGGCATAATCAATTAGGGCTGCAGCTCATGGATCTGCTGTAGCCTCTGGAGGAAGACATCAAATGCATTGTTCATGTTGCAAACTTACTAAGACAGGATTGGCAACTATGGTGACAGGCTCTTGGGCAAGACATTTCTTTGGTTAGGTCTGAATAACTGTCCTTGATACAAGAATCTACATGTATAAATGCTCTTAAATTCCAGAGTTTTCTACAGCAAACATGAGAAATAGCCATTAAGTTGCAATTAAATGTTTTGACACTCTACAGGTGGGGTTGCACAAATGTTTTTTGTGTTAAGAGCTGCACTTTGCTTTTAGTGCACTATCAAGGATAAACTTCCCCAAATAGATGAGACCAGAACAAACCTCATATTTAACACCTAAACACACACACACAGAGTAGTTCTATGTATTTAATAATTTCCTGCTTTGGTTACATACAAATAATGTGGCAACTTTCCGAGGGACCCAGAGCTGCACTTAAAGACTTTTGTGGAGCCACGCCTGAACCTGGTATTTCAAGCATTTCATTACAAAGAGTATGCTGACTCTTTTTACAATAAATCTGTTTTTGTAACCAAAAAAATCTCTTAAGGTTATTAAAGTGCTCACCTTCTCAAAGGGATGACTTGGGAGCTACTTCTCCCAATTTCTGTAGTAGTGGGAAAATCAAGAAGATACTCTATTTAATGTCAAAAAGGACCTTTATAGCAATAAAAATTTGCTATATAAAAATTTGTCATCACCTTTGGCATCTTCCATAAGCAGATCACTAAAAGGTCAAGCAACTTCAAGGTTACAAGCTCCCTTTGAACTATGAGCATTAATGTAGCAGGCAACCCCGTTACTGACAGTACAAGCTGATTCTTCTCCATGACTGAACTCAGATTTGGCCAAACATGCATGTGCACACCATTAAAATTCCACCATCCAGTTGGGAAGGTTAATGATAAGTCATTACTTGGCACCTGCTGTTAAGACTTTAGTAAGGAGTGCAGCTTTGTACTGCATATGTAAAATGAAGTGGTAACTCTTTGGAATTCATGGGGGCATTGGTCATGGTAAAGAGGCAAGTAGTAGTCACTATTGGAAATGTAATTCTAAAAGAAACATTAGATTAGAAGCCAGGAACAGAATGGTTAGACAAAGTTCTGAACTTCTTAAAATAGGCATAAAATTATTAATATTTTACAATATGAAGGTATATACTATACTTACAGTGACTCTTTACTAATTTAAGATACATTGATATTCATTACTTGTGTTAAGCTGTAAATGTACTGGTAGTATATTAAAACACAACTCCATTTCTTTCTTCTCTGCTTTCAACTGTTCTTTTTTACATTATTTCATCTTAATTGATCTGTCCTGCCACAACTGATTTTAGTCAGAAACATGAACACTGAAACCCCATTTCACAAGTAATAGCAAATATGTAGGCTAGTTGACTCAGTGTGTATGAATGCCAGAGCTATAAAATTCAGTTTGATATAGCAGTAACTTACCCATCCCATGTTAATTACTACAAAGAGAGCTATCCTGGAAAAGCATTCAGACAAACTGAAAAATGAAAAAGCTTGATTTTTTCCACCTTCCCAGAAATTAAGCATGTTTTAAAATATGCAGTCATACATTATATTGCTGATTTTTAGATACTGGTGTTGCTTTATTGGTTTTTAATTTTAATTTGTTGCCAGTACCTATTAAATATTATTAAACAGCTATATTTGAACGACTGAAAATTTTTGATGAACCATGGTACAGAATTTGTTCTTTTCCAAAAATCATCTTTAGCTATTCAAGTACAGTACATTATATAAAATACTACTACATGTGAAGTATGTACTTTGGATCGCCTTACAGATCTTTAAATCAATTGTCAATTGTGATTAACTTATCCCATGAATTTTAATAAGGTTTTATTGTGATTCACTTTCTTCATATTTGGCCATATTGTGTGTCTAGATGGAATATGTAGATAAGAACACCCGGAAGTTCTAGTAAAGACTGTATGCATTGGAGTCGCCTAGAGTCACTGATAGTGAGATGGGCGGCATATACATTTAATTTATAAATAAGTATAAATAAATAAAATAAAGTTCACAAAATCTTTAGCTACAAGAATAGATCAATGTCATTCTAGTTATCTATAGCATAATCAATAGCTTGAATTAAAGATTAGGGTTTAATTTTCTCAGACTATACGTAATTCATAGCAAGTGTTAATATTACAACAGAAAATATGTCTGTATAATATGAACAAATACTCTTCATCAGACATTATACAGTGCAAAGTTAAATACAATACAAAGTTTATTAAAAATAGGTTGCAAGTGAAATACAGTAGAAATGGGAAACCACAGCAGTTCTTACGTTGTTTTCTCCATAATGCACCGATAATTATGAAAAGCATTTTTATTCATATTCACATGTGGCCTGAATGCCCAATAGTGATCAAATCCACTCCACAGTAAGTGATATTTCTTTCCTTAAATTCTAGCAGCAACAGTATTCCAGCCACAGAATATCTAGTGTTCTCAAGATAAATTGGGGGATGCTTCCTTTCTCCCTGAATAACAGACATAACAAGCATGCAATCCTTCATTAACACTTTCAACCAATTTAATCTCCTACTTCATATTTAACAGGTGAACATTAAAAGAACACTTTCAAATAAGAAACCTGAACTATGTAAAAAAAATATTTACACTCCAATTTTATCATTAACTTGCATTTATTTTTTTATCATACAACTCTTATTAAAAGTGATTTCTAAGGCAGTAAAGTCTACCCTCTGCATTTGGAAGTGTGCATAATTCCCTAAATATATATTTATAAGAGAACATATTATACAGAAAAATCATCTAAAACCCAATTAAGGACTTTATCAAATAGAAAATTTGCTTAGAATCACAATATAATATATTGTTTTAAACATCACACAATGCGAAAACAAACTAAGATGAGGTCTTTATTCTCAACATCAGCTATATACACATAGCTGAAGGAACAGTGGGTGAAACAAATTTCAACCATTTAAAAATTAAATAATGCTGCAACATAGTGTGTAAAATAGCTTGAACTGCCAACATTTTCTACAATATAAAGAAAAAGGACAATAGCAAACTAGAGGTACCATGACCAGCACTTTTCTACATGAATGCCTGATGATGTGCTATCAGAACATTGCCAGGTTTCCTCAATGAAATTCTTGCTGAAAGGCATTTTTTTTTTTTTTGCAGCCATAAGTAACCATATTTCCCCTGCAAGTAGTGCTTAATTACCAGCTACTGATAATTGAAGTCTTTAGTCCATTTGTGAATATTTAACTTTGGTTTTGTCTTGGCTACAGTGGAGCTACCAGATGAAGTTTATTCCATATTGCTAAAGTGTGGAATTTCAGAATAGCTTTAAAACAATACATACGCGCGCACACACATACCATCATACCCAGTGTCCAATATTTTACTAATTTTTCCATTCTTATCAATATTTCAAAACTCAAGTTTTAGAAGTGGCTAATACTTCAGTGTAAGAAGAGATAAGACAGTGGGAAAAATAGGATGCATATTTTGTTACATTGCTGGACTGCAATCAAAACAAGTCAAGTATTTAACGTCCAAAAATCTGCATGTATATAGATTACTCTATGTGGCTTAGTATGGACACGATAATGGAGCCCTTTTACTTTCAGTAATCAAGGTGTGTTTCTAGCAAAGGCTTATTTATAGAAACTGGACTCCTAATACTAGTGTTCTCTGTTATGCTAGTGATCTGAAAGACTAGCTCCCAAGATGTCTTAAATGTTTATATTACCTTACACTTGTATCAAACCTACAGTGCAACAAGCCAGTGGTAGTTAGGCAGTTCAAGCTATAGCCACTCTTTCTGCTTCACAGGTGTTTACATGTTTCTGTAAGAGACTAGGAAGCAACAATTCTTCAATAATTATGATCCAGAACAGTTGCAAAAGCAGCTAAAAGACAATGATGTGGAAAAGGACATGAATGACACTTGGTTTATTTAATTAAAATATATTTTACGGTGCCTCAATTGTATAAACCACAAGCACTTGGCAAATAATTGATTTTCTTGCTATTGCAACATACTTAAATGTGAAATAGTCTAGAAAGAAATAGTCCAGGCAGAAAAAAGCTATCTCATTTGTTATGAGATACTTCTTCTCCTTGAACTGCCCCAACTCCAGTTCCATAGAGATTTTCTGATTTTTTGATAAGGTGCCAGTTATCCTACTTTGTATTTAATTCATTTTCCAATTCCGTTAATTTCCTAGATGCCTTTACTTTATTAGACACATCTTGACCCTGGGAAAAGAGTCTTTGTCGCTCCCGGAAAGTCAAGTTCTCTGGTGCGCCAGGTAAATCTGTATCTTGACTGCAAGGAAAAGGACAATTCAATGTTATAAAAATACATTATATTAACTTAAGTGCAGCTGCTCTGCTTTTGTATTAGGTTTGGTCTACAATCATTCACATCCTTTTCTTAATCAGCCAGATTAATTTCCAAATAAACATTAGGGATGGTCTTATAACTAGGTAGCCATTTTTCATCCATCACAAAATGGATCATGTTTTATCATACCTAGTATAGCCATTAGGAAATCTAAAATATTTTATACAGGGTTGGTTCACATTTGAGATGACTCCTATGTCCTGCTTTTGGATTCCTACATGTACGCTAAAACATGCCAAGATCATATATACTGACTTAAATATGACAGCCTCATTTAGTATTTTTGTTTGGTGTGTACTTATATGCAAGCACAGTACAAGACCTATTTTTCCTCTCACAACTCCTCCTCTATGAGTTAGGCTGGGCTGAGAGAGAATGACTGACCCAAAGTCATCCAGGGAGCTTCTATAGTTAAGGATAAATTACAACCTGGTGTCCCTGCTCCAAGTCCAATACTTTACCCAGTACACCATGCTGGCACTTGTTAGTACTATCATTATTACAACATCTTTCAGTCTTCTCTAAACATTCTTATGGGATGCACCACTATGTTCAAAAGTCTTTTGGATCCTTAAAAAGCCTTAAATTACCTAAACAACAACCAGGATTACATGTAATATATCAATAAAACAGTATTTAAAGCCATTTATTTCCATTTTACCTTTTCAATTTCTTCTCTCTTGGGTCTGAATAAGGTTCCTGTGAACCTGCAAGTGCTCCAGTAGATCCAGTGTAGTTTGAGCCTTATATTAAAAGAAAGTAAAATAACAATAACCATTTTTTCTTCTCAAAAGGTGCAGTGCTTTAAGTGGTTCTTACTCTACGCTTTCAGGCCAAGTCCCCTAAGACTACCAGCTTCCTCACAAGACAAGCTTAGGAAAAAAAGGTATTGAAAGCTGAATATAATGGCAAATATTTCTATCTTATGACACCTTTTAATCATGGATAATATAAATGAAATCAAATACATATATGAAATAAATATCTAAACTTGCCAAATTGAAATCCTGCATATATAAGTTGCCAAAATTTCAATGACTTAAGTAAGTGAAATTTAAGCAGCTTGCATGCAGGATTGTAAATTAAGCTTTAGCCTTCCTGTTAATAAAAAGACTAGATGAATATATATCTAGTAAGGTCAGGAACTATTGCTTAGATATTCCCCAATAACCAGATTATGGGATATTAAGAATATACAGAATGTGAGAATATAGCCTTATGACAACTTTCCAATACTGTATATTCATTTAGTCTGTCAATTGCAGAGAGAGCCCACAATGAATCTGTAACTTTAAAATGCCTATGGAAAATCTGTATTTTTTAAAGTTTCTGTTGGTATACATTTTGCAGCACTGCACCTTTGTACTTTGCTCTCATATGAACAGACACGACAGCAAAAACAGCAAACCTTACACTACTGATGAATCTTCCCCAAAGGCCACAAGATTAAACACATCATTTGTATTTGAAATATCAACTCAGCACTCCCATTTCATAGACTCACTTCTGCTATTTGTACTGGTAGGGAAAACCATCTCTTCTGGCCACAAAACTTTTTAGTTTTCAAGTAGTATTTTTAGTTTCTAAATACTGCATGTGTTTTTCTTGTAAGCCTTTTCAACACAAAAGCAGATGTATACTCCTTCCATTAGTTTTCTTTATTCAATTATTGAATTTAAATATTGAATAGATTTCAGCACTACAAAGCTGTATTTAATGTCAGACTGATGCCCAACAATTAATTAACAATGCAAATCAATGCACAGGTACTTCTGAGGAATCCCAACTGAATTTAGTGAGATAAACCTCTAAGGAAATGCTGAGAATTTATTCAGAATATTAATAATATGTTGGTTAGGAATTAATTTTGCTGTCTGCCAAATTTTAAGCTTAACTATATTTTTTCATGTCAAAAAGTATATCTAAATACAGAAGCTCATCCACTTTGGTATTAGTTACAGTTGCTCAAATTTAATTCCCAGATTGAGGAGTACTAGTCTTCTGAATTAATCCCAACAATCTAATGGAAGGAGCTGGGAAGTTTAGTTTTGCAGAAGCGCAGTCTACCATAGCATTCATTAAAGGATAGCAATATGAAGGTTAGTGAGATGGAGAGAGAAGCTGCATAGTGAATTTTGCATTATGTGCAAACAGCTTTTTACTTTATGCAGACATCCTTCACAGAAGATTGAAAGTTCAAATGGAATATATGACCTGTTTTATAAACTTAAAAAAATATTAAAATAGTTATGAGATGTATAGTTCATATACTGAGGTTAAGATGAAGCAACAAATTATATGGCATTTCTCAGTAACTACCTTAGCTTCTTTATAATCTTAATAAGAATTATTAGATACAAAAGCATAGAATCATAGTTGGAAGGGACTTTAGAAGTAATCTAGTCCAACCCCCCTGCTTAGTACAGCATCTGACAGACAACCACTCAGCCTCTGGTTGAAGACCTCTGGCAAAGGTCTTCATGTGGTAGCCTATTCCACTAGCTGAAAGCTTGTACAAATAGTCAGGAGTTCCTTCCAATTTGTAGCCTTGTAATGTTAATCCACTGGTTCTGATCTTGCCCTGAGGCAATAAAGCAGTGTTTTTCAACCTCAGCAACTTTAAGCTGTGTGGACTTCAACCCCCAGAATTCCCCATGCTGGCTGGGGAATTCTGGGAGTTGAAGTCCACATAGCTTAAAGTTGCTGAGGTTGAGAAACACTGCAATAGAGAATAATTCCACTTCTTCAGTTGGACATTATTTCAGATATTTAAGGATTCTCTTTTCCCCTTAGTCATCTTTTCGGTAGGCTAAACATCCCTAGGTCTTTTAAAAGTTTCTCAAAAGGCTTGTTTCCAAACTCTTTAACAGTAATCCTCCTCTGATCTGGCTCCGATCTGTCCTTGTCCTTTGTGAAGTGTGGTGCCAGAATAGGGTGCCGTACTCCTAACGGGGCCTGAGCAGGGCAGAGAACAACTACTTTGTATGATTTGGACTCTATGCTTTGGTTAATGTAACTTAAGATAGCAATTGCCTTTTTGGCAGCTGTATCACAGTGCTGGCTTGTATTTAACTTGTGCTTGACAAGAACGCTCAGATCCCAAGCCAGGTGTACTACTAAGGTCCATTCCAACCAAACCAGATCTCCCCCATCCTATATTTGTGCCTTACATTTTTCCTACCCAAATGCAAATCTTTAAATTTCTCCCTGTTAAATTCTATCTAGTCATTTCAACAAAATGCTCAAGCCTCTCTAGATCCGTTTTTGAATCTTTTCACTTATATCTAAAGTGTTACTCCTCGTAGCTTTGTGTCATTGTCAAATTTTCTAAGAGTCCCCTCAGCAACCTCATCCAAGTCATTGATGAAAATCCTGACCAGCACAGGTCCAGGACAGAGTCCTTCCACTCAAATACTTCCTCCCAAGCTGAAGTGGAGTCATTAATGAACACTTCTGAGTGCAGTCATTCAGCTAACTGTGAGTCTATTTAACAGTGGTATTATCTAGCCCATATTATCCTGTTTTATTAAGATATTTATTATATAGTATTTCCAAAATATGAAATAAGGATTGGCAAAAATTTATCTACTGGCAGGATTCTCTTGTGGTTGCATGGGGAAGGATTACATTTAGGAAGTGAATGCTAATTCTGAAGCTTCTCATCTTAATGATAGTAATAGCAGCATTATCTGCTTTGTTTTACTATAGAAAAAGCAATAGTCTGTTCTGACCCACTTTAGGTTGCAGGCTTTTTCCATGATCCCTTAACTATCTTTAGAAGAAACTAGGCAAACAGGGAAATCCTACAACTATTTATGGGACTTCCTTTAATCCAGGATATCAAAATACCAGCTGGGGTTCCATTTTGAGTATTTTCAATTATTACTAAACTTCTTTAGCTTAAGTGTCTACTTCTATACAGGAAAACAAAACAAATAAATAAGGAGACAGCTGGAAAATAGCTTGCAAGCTTCCCAGAATTCACTAATGTTCCCTCTCCCTATAATCTGACTTTTGTTTGTATCTTATCAAATCATAAACCAGCTACAAGCTAAAGCTTTGTAATTCTTTGATATCAGAGTTCTAGTAGACCAATAGTATTCAGCTAGATATGTTTACAATGAAGGGGAAATAAAGTCAGGAAAAGAGACATAAAAAAGATAAAGCAAAACAGCATGAATAATGGAGAGATAGGCTTTTACTTCAGTACTGAGCAATGTGTACTAGAAATCTCATTAAAAAACTGTACTATGTTTGTCTACTATGTTCACTTTTTCCAAAACATACACCCAGCTAGCATTTCACTTCAAATACAATTGTTGGTTTATATATTTTCAAAGCCATTTGCACACTATTTACATGGCAAGTATTAAGCAGAAAGTCAACTGCTTCCCATAATGAATCAGAATAAATGTCCTTATAGCAAGAAACATGTATCTCAGAAATGTGAAAGCATCATGGACCAATTAATAATAATAATAATAATGATGGTGAATGAAAGATATAGATCAAAAGCCAAACCCAACAGTACTTTTAGTTTGTCAAATAGAATTCTAAAAATCATTTGCTTTCATTATATGAAAGAATTACAGAATTTGATAAATGGAAAGAACACACGTATTTAAAATTTATAGCAACAAATCATATTGACAGTTGGATCACCATGCTTGAGATTGTGATCAAGTAAGAAATAATCAGGAGAGTGATTTTGTTTAGAATACTTTAGCGGGAAATTTGTAGAGAGTTTTCACAGAGAGATTTTAAATTAAAATGTTCGGTCTACCTTTTGTGTTGCTGGGATTGATGAAACTTGGCTTGTGTGGTGGGGGAGGGGGCTGGCTCATTTTGTAAGCAGTACTGTTGGCATTGACAGAGGAGGGCTGGCATGAGTTGGACAGAAAGAGGCCATCTGAGGCTGGGCGTGGCTGGCGGGAGGACTGCTGTGGCTTAAGGGGGGCAGGAGGAAGGTCACCATAAGACTTTCTTGTACTGGCGTACTTATCCTGACCTGTTGCTAGACAGGAGTCCTCCTCCTCCTCATCATTGTATGCAACAAACTTGGCAGTATAAATCGTGTCAGGAGAGAGGACCTGAGTTTTGAGGTAAGAAGTGTTTCGTTGAGGTGGGGGAGGAGGAGCATTAGATGAAAGGGGTGGGGAGGGGAATTCATATTCCCGTGGAAGCGGAGGTCTGTACAGACCAGGCTCATCGGGCTCCAGCAATCGACGTTCTGCCTCATCATGCTGGCGGCGCCTCTCCGCTTCCAAGCGATTATAGTATTCTTCTTCCTGTCGCCTCTGTTGAGCCAAAGGGAATAAAAGGATGTCAGCAAATACCAAACACATGGCAATTTTCACACTGGAAAAGATTTGGATAACTTTCTTTCTTTTACCAAGAAAGAAAACCACACTTCCTGCTCTAAAACACCGGGTTACTTCTGCACTTAGGGTGAAATCCACTCTCCCTCCAATTCCCTCTTGAGAGGCAGGAGATCATATGAAACAGATTTTGAGAGTAGGAGTGTAACTGTATGGAAGAAAACGAGCAGAACCCCTCCTGGTGTCAATGTCAGCAGAACCACCTTTGGATTCCATTCAGTGATATGATACATATTTGCACTGAGAAAAGTAAACTTGCAATAAATTATTAAAATTTCAAGGAATATCAAGGAGGAAAGGAGTGAAAAGGAAGAAGAGAACTGAATATGAAATTCTACCTTGCAACTGACAATATGCTGCCATTAAAACAAGGGGTATTCTATACTGACAACTTCATAAACCTTCTTGTATTGGGTGCCAGGATACATTAAACTCTCAATTACAGTTTACTGTCTGAAATTACATGAACACACTTAAAATTTCCTATCTATATAAATACATTCATCTCCCTGCCTGGCATTACTTAATACAAAACAGAAAGGATTGCACTGAAGAAGAATGTAGTAAGCCTTAGGTCAGCTTTACATGTGACCTTTACCAACCATAGTTATCTACAAGTAGAGATAATGAGCAGCCTTTTTTGTTTGTTTGTTTGGCTTTGTTTTCCTTAAACAGATATAGGAATTTATGCTCAGAGGCAGAGACCACTGAGGAAGCACTCTGGTAGCCTGGTTCCTAAACCATGGCTTGACTTATACTACACTTTTGCTTAAGGGAGGGCTAGGCACTTTTTTAGGTCATAAAGCATATTCAAGATAATGACCATTCTGAAAAAACTGAAGCCATGGTGCCCATGACTAGACATAGGGTGTCCATTTACCAGAATGATCAAGTTGTTCTCCATCACCACCTCTATGAAAGAAAAAACACCTTCCAGCCCTGCTTACCTTTGCCTTTCTTTGTAGCAAGTGGTCTACTTCCATAAAAAGCACTGGGATGCAGGCACTTCCATTTTTATTTTCTAAGAATGCTACTTCCCCATTTTTCTTTAAATTAAAAAAATACTGGCAGGGAGCCCAGAGGATAATGAAGGCACCATGGTTTCTGGAGTCATTAATATTAAGCTTTCAAATATTTTTTCAAATATTTATCATTTGAAAAAAATGGAGGTATTTCAATCTTTAGAATGGTATGACACAGTATCAAACATGTCTGAAATGGGAGGGCATGGAAAGTTGACAGTGGTGGTGGTGGGAAAATGGAGGCATATTCATGACCTGTTTCCTAAACTGCAATTAATATTACCTGCTAATGTTTTTATTGGAATTCCTTCATGCTTAAACTTTTTCCTAACTCCCAAAACTTCTCATGGTCATGTCACTGTCTATCCATTCCATTTGTTTAATTAATCCTACTTATTTAAACCCGCTTAGTGCCATTGTCTAGTTGGATTTTGTTTCTTCTGTATTAAGTTCTTCATACTTCTAAATGTGACAGCTTTTCTCTCTTCCTGTTTTTAAAGTGGGATTTCAAAATTTGCAACTTTATTTTTATTACTTTAAAAATAATTTTAACCTTTTAGACTTAGTTCCTGGAGTGGGTCTCATTTTGATTTTCCTTCATTATTCTTAATATCTGATCTCCTAACAATTTTTCTGGTACTCTTCCCTCTTTATATGTCTTTCATTTTATTTTGATTTTATTTATTAATTTATATACTGCCTGCTTCTGAAAGACTCTTGGAGATTAATGAAATATATTTTGCTTTTTCTTAAACTGCAAGTCTACAAACACAGGGTAGGCTCAGCTCTTGATTTTAAGTAGTGTACAGAATTCAAAACAGTACATGTTAAGAGCTAAAAAAGTACAAAACTGCTGCTGACAATTCTGTCTCAAGATTGTTGTAATTGTTGTCAAGACTTAACATTGTTGTAATATTAGAAATAATAGTAGTGGTCAAGCCAATTTTAAGTGAAGCATACAAAGTTATAGAAAACTGTAAGTAAAACCTTTTGCTCAGCCTCTCTCTTTGTCCGCTCCTCCTCTTGACGGCGTCGCTCTTCTTCTTGCCTGGCCCTATCTTCTGCTTCCCGTTTACGCATTTCCTCCAACTGCTGCTGCCGTCTGCGCTCTTCATCCTGTAACTATTGAAGATTTATCTTGTGTTTTACTTCAGATCCTTTTGAGGACAGAATATTTCATAAAGAAAAATCCCCATTACTGTTGAAAAGGAACATTTTTTAAAAGTCTAATTAACAATTATTTTCTCCTCTTTGGAATGTTTTTTTCCATTTCAAAAAATATTTTTTCATAAAGGAAATTCAAAAAGAAAATGTATTTTCCCCTGAAGAAATGCTGTAGATGTGAATAGGTATTTCTGTTCTGATACAATAGTTCAAACTACATGTTTTACATTTGTTCTTCTGGGAAGATGCACAAAATGTAATCAATGATATTTTTTCCCACTAGATAACATTCCTCTGATTTTGACCATAAGCCCAACGTACCAACTATTTCGGCTACCTGTGATTTTTTCATATATTAATGTTTTTATTCTGAAGGAACATTTGGAATCTCTGTAAAGTAGGAAACATAATGAAAATCCATGCTGTAAAGTGCAATTATTTAATCACATTAAATAAGGTTCTATAGCTGTTAAAATAATCTTATACTTTCAAACATGTTGTAGAAATTAAACAGTTTCAGAAAAGTGTTCCTCAAAAAATGGCTATCATCTCCTTTAAACACCTGTGAGAAAAAGTGTTACAAAGAATAAAGGAGAACTACTGGACTCTGTCCCACACTTTTTAAAACAGCTAAAATTATACTGTAATTCCAAGCGTTGCACCAAGTGGTGTTATTTGAAAGGGGAAAAAGCTCTAAATTGGTATTTTTAATAAAAGGGAAAGGAGGTCAAATTTTTAATTATAATTCCATTTGATAGGTTTCTTGTGTCATGATCCAACTGCACTTTCAAATATACTGAGTTCAGTAAGCGTGAAATATATGCTTAAAACTCTTTATATTGGTGAATTGTAATATCTATGGTTTGCAGTTTAATAGCCAAAATAATTAGTTTTGTTTGAGAAGTTAGAAAGGGAAACAATATTGCAGTGAGTGATTTAACCAGATCAGATTCCTTTAACACTTTGTCATAATAATCATAAGTTAACAAAAGTGATCAGCATAATAAACCTTATTTTGATTTCACAGTTGATAAAATAGTAGCTAAAATACACCATAAAATTATTATAGAGTAGAACTATTCCTCATATATTTTGAAGCTATTAGTGTAACATACAGTTCTACTGTTTTATCAATACAGTAACAGCGATCTGACTGTGAAAGAACTTTTTGTAAAAATATTTTGAATATCTCTAAGTTCAAAGGTTGAAACCTAGAGGTTGTATTCCAAAAACCAAACTGTTAAAACTAACAAAATGTAAACTATTGAAAGTTTTGATAAGAAGATAAATAATATACTGGAATGTTAGAATACATTAAAATATATGATTTAGAGAAGAAATGTTTTTTTTAAAAAAAGCATGGGGAAGAGAACAATGGAAACTCACCCATACATAATGTTTTCGAACTACTGAGATATGTTAAATTGTTCATTTAACTGTGGTAGTTCACAGCTGTACACAATTAAAAGATGCAAACAGAATACAACTTAGAAAAGTAGGAGAGAAAAAATTAGGAACATTCCTCAAGCATTAGGTAGGTGCGTCTTGCTTACCACTAATTTAATGTATTATTCTTTGCTTTGAAGCACTCAAAAGGTAAACAAATATCCAATGCGTATTGGATCATCATTAATTAAAAGGAAAAAAAGTATTAAGGAAAGGCATTGAAGAGAAAGAAATAAGAACATACCAAATCTAGAACAGAGATTGCTGGCAAAGCAGTCTGCTGCAGGTAATAAGAGAAGGAAAAAGAAAGATGCACAGTGAAAATAAGGGTAAATTTAGATTGCACTATGCCAAAAGCATATTCTTTGATTTGTTACTACAGCTGAATAAAAATAAAAGCCAGTGTGACAGTCTAATATGTTAGCAAATCTCTCAAAATAAATCAGGAAAAGAGATTTTTAAAAAATATTTTCTGTAAACTCTGTTAATTCATCTATTTGTGCTTAAAGATCTACACAATGTCAAGAGAACAGAGTATTGTAGAAAGATGGCCAACTGGTTATATTATTTTAAATTTACCATTAATAAAGGAAAAATCTAATGGAAGTTCTAAAACTATGCGAAACGAATACAAAAGATAAATTTCTCAACTATTTAGGAGAAGAGAGTTTAACAAAGCATATGGTGCAGATCTGAAAATAGTAAGGTCAAACTGCTCGATCATGAAGATGAAAATGTTTTAAAATTATATAGTATGTAGACTTTTATCCATGCAGTAAAAAAGCTGAATGACAACAGTAGAATTAGCAACAATGCCAAGGACACTTGATAGCCTTCATTTTATCTACCTAATTTTCAGTACAGAAGAGTTAATCAAACAAAAAAATAAATAAAAGAAAGCTATGCATTTAGCAAGAAAATGCATTAAAAGGCAGCACTGGAAAGTAATGCTTTTTATAACTGCAAAAGAAGCATAACATAGAAATCAATTACTGCAAAAAAACAAAACAAAAAAACCTTGAAATCAAGTTGCTACTATAATTTGACCATTCATCAGTGTTATTTATACAGCCCCCTAGCCTCCTAAAGGCTAGCTAGCTAGTTCAGATTCTTTTTTTTTTTAAAGTATGTGATTGTTTAATCTGTTTTTGAAGCTGTATTCTTAGGAGCAGATTTACTAAAGAGCTATTTTTCTTGGTAAAGAAAAAAAAAAATTACTCTTTGGGAATGAAAATTCCAAATCATGTTATGCTATGGACTTTAAACAGATGAAACATAAATTTAAAAGTTTTCAGTGGCACAAGATTAAAAAAGCTAGACTAATCTTCTGGAATATTGCATATGCATCATACAAATGCAACTGTATCTACATAGCATTCATATCTATATATGAATCAAACTTATAAAATATTTAGAGTAGGGTTTTTTTGTTTGTTTTGTTTTTGAAAAAGGGGGACCAGAAAGATGGGTACTTCCCCCTAATAATTTCTAGGTAATAGCTTGCAACACACCACTTAATTGACAAATCAAGATAGTCAAAGTCAAACTTCATTATATGCAATGAAAGACAGGGACATTATGAGAGTCCAGTCCTCCTTTATCCTGTAGTGAAACCTAATTTGTATTTATGCTAGCAGTATACAAAAATGTTAGCACATGAAACGCATTTTAAAAGGGATTTTCTCATTTTACCCTTGCTCTTCTCTCAGCTTCTAGTCGTTGCATAATCAGCATAGTATCAATATCATCATCTTCTTCCTCATCTTCATCCTCGTCTTTTTGCTTTGACTCTTGAAGTCGTTTCTGGAATTGCCACTCCAGCATGAGCTTGCGCAGGCGGTCATTTTCTTCACCTGTTCGATCTGGCTTGTTTTGAAGTTCTTGAATCTCTTTGCTCAGCATATCCACAATATGCATTTGCTGCTGCTTCTCCAGCTTCTCCTTAGCATCTCTTTTCCAGGGATCAGGAGACAGACTATCACTAGAGGACAGCTCTTCTTTGCTTATGGTGATATATTGGAGATCTCTTCGTTCAATGGTTCGGGGTTGTTGTTGGGGCTGCAATTCTCTAATGACAGTCTCATGAGACCTCTGCAGTGTTGAAGGTTTCTCTGGTTTCACCTGCTGAAGAGGAGGAAGCATTGACTGAGCTGGCATTAGTGGCTGAGCACGAATTTGCCCCAGTTTTCTTTCCTGCTCTCGACGTTTTCTGTCTCGTTCTTCCTCTAAACGTGCTTTTTCCTTTTCATACCATCTCTGATGTTCTTCTCTTTTTTTGCGCTCTGCAGCAGCAACCTGAGATGACTGTGACCCCAACTGATTTGGAGGTGGAGGTGGTGGTGGGAGGGGTAAGTCCATTTGCAGTCCATCAAAGTCAGCTGCATAGTGCACTGGTGGGGGAGGTGGAGGTGGAGGAAGGTCTGTCCTTGTGGATTGAGAAACTGCCATCAGTATTGGTTGAGTAGCTATAGGTGTTTTCCAACGGCCAGGTCCGCTTTTGGTTAAAGAAGATCCAGAAGGGATAGATTTAGAGGAATTGTTTAGATGCTCTTGGCTTGATGTGCTAGAATCCACAGACGAATTCATCCATGGATCGCTATCTGATTTTCGATCAATATATTCCATATCTTTTTGAATGACAACTTCTAACTGATTCCTTTCTGGCTGATCATCCCGTAGCTCCTCCTGAGAACGTGTCACACGCTTAAAAAATAAAGATTATAACATTAGTTTCCACATGTTGATATGCCAATACAGCAAAATTAAATGACAGTTTATTACCTTTTACAATGATTATGAAATGCTTACTCACTTGTTCTTAAAATCAGCATTTTAACAAATGGTAATACATTACAATAAGTTTGAAGCCCTACATTTAGCTTTTCATTCCAATCAAGTTATACAAACTCTAAAACAGCCTGAGACAGGATTATGAAACTATCTCAACACATGTTAAACTACAGCAGAATGAACAATGCCAAATCATTATCACATCTACAACTTGTGCTCACAGAAATATTTAGGCCTAAGAGCTTATATGAATAACTAACTTCGCTTGTCATTCCTCCCATTGCTTTGGCAACTTTTATTATAATTACAGTTATATATATTGTAGATAAAATGGAACCGTTTGTTCACCCTGCCTTATAGTTTATCTCCTATTCATTTTTTTTCCTCCTGCAATGCTGAAAATTATTTCAGGGAAGCATTTATCTGAACTGTAAATTCCTTATGAAATGTTCTATTGTCAAAAGATACTGTGCTAGCTAACTGAAGATTTGCAGTGTTAAATACAAAATACAACTGCTGCACAGAAATGTAATAATAACATACCACATACCTGAAAATTTCTAATCTGTTTATAAGCTTCACAAGCTTTGCTGTGTACTTCTATAATTTATTTTAAATAAAAAACAGACCAGATACAAAGCTGGCAGCTATGAAGAAAGGCAACATTTCAGTGCTTCTCTTTCAAAGACCTTAACTATGACCTAAAAAATGCCTTGTTTTGAATGAATGCATTTCTTATGCTCTATTACTCCAAAAGCACTGAATACAATGTACACTAGTAAAATGCACTGAACAGAGTAGTAATGTCTTGGATATTTAAAAGAAAACACAGATAAACCAGGCATTTTATACTTTGCAACACTTAACACACTCTTATTCTTATATAGTAGTTCTCAAAAGCTCTAAACTTGATTTTTAAATTAATCACACTGCTCCTACATTTCAATCATCAGCTCCAAATATAAATTGTCATCTTTTCAAACACAGTACGAGTCTAGAATTTTTTTCATGGTGATTTAGATATATTGTAAAGCTTTATTTTCTAGTTTAGAAGCTAGCCAAATATTATATTTTGAGGAATAGCAAAATATAATAAAATATGGAGGTATTCTTACGAAGACTTAGTACTAGATCCGACCCAGTCATAGTTCTTATTCTGTCTACAATCCCCAAACTACTTATATATTACATAATTTTATAAAGCAAATTATTTCTAACCTGATTTGCAGTATTGATATAATGGTTACTTTCAGCTGGAATTTGGGGCTTTTCTTCATAACTTGCCCACTGATTCTGAACAGGACCCATTCGATCCTGAGACCTGGAGGCTGGGAATGTGAAATACTCTCTGGTATAAGTTTGTGTTGGGATTGGATATGCTTCAGGTCTAGCTGGTAGTACCTGTTCCTGCATAAATATGGAAGGATCATTTATAGACTTCAAACAATAATGTCATGTACTTTTTATAAATATTCACAGGTAAAGAGTTCTTTGCTACTTCTAACCTCTGTGCAAAGATTTCCAGTAGACACTGAAGTTATCTTGTTTGTAGTTCCTGCAGTGTAAGCCTTTTTGGTCCCAGGACTTGGAGGCTGATCTGATGAAAACAAAGAGATTTAAACTGTTAACACATGCAAAATAAACTTTCAAACAGGAAAACAAGGCCCCTGGGGCTTATTAGCTCTTCTTGAATGACATTTTCCACTGTGGTGCCTGCCCTTTGGAACAATCTCCCCCCGAGATATGGTTGGCCCCGACCCTGTCAACCTTCAGAAGGGCAGTAAAAACTTGCCTTTTTCCTTGGGCTTTAGGCCAGGATGATTAGAGTTCCTGTGTGGAGGGGGGTATGAATGTGAGTTTCTGGTTGCCCACTAATTGAAACTGTTTATCTAAATTTGTTTCTGAGTCTAGCGTACACCACCCAGAGTCACAATATTTGAGTTGGGTGGTCATATACATTATTTAAATAATAAATAATAATTTTTATTTTTGCTAATTTCATTTATATTATAGCTAGTTATAAAAATTCCAACCCCTTTAGGCTTACTTCGGAGTTTAACTCAGCTTTACATAGGTATTAATTCACAGAAACAGCTGTAAGCTAGTGCTTGCTTACTTGCTACATTGGGACTAGATCGGTGATCAGCTCGATTCTTCAGCAGTCTGTCATCCCCTGGTAACTTCTTTGGTTCATTATATTCTGTCCAAGGTAGCTGAGGGCTTTCAGGTGATCCATTCTGAGCAGAATTGTTATATAGCTCAAAACCTTCACTCTTTGGTCGGGGTTTACCTGAGCCACGGCGATCTGAAACTGAACAATGTGTGTACGAGAGGAAGAAGGAGAGGGAGAGGGACAGAGAGAGGGAGTGGGAGAGGGAAAGGGAGAGAGAATCATAATAATTCTTTTGGTCTGCAATGAAAGTAGAGGACCCTACTTCTAAATTCTCCCTCAACCTATTATATGTTCAGGTTCAAAAAGCAAAGTTCATGCAAGGTGAGAGTCGGGTATGCAAAAACATAGAGCTGCAAATTTGCTTGCATTTCCTGGTCGTACAGAACTCAAATGAAATGCTCTTGACCCTCTCCAGTGTATATTACATACAGTACATAATGCTCTAGGTTCTATTCCTAGTTTCTCCACTAAAATTAAATCATGCTTATTTATTTATTTTATTTTTATTTATTTATGAATTTGTATGCTGCCCATCTCCCCCACTAGGAAAGATAATTGTCTGAGAGTTTGGAAAACAGCTGCAATTCACACGAACAGTAGCAGATTACATATATCTGTGTTCAGATTGATTTTACACATGCCAAACAATATCCATGGGGTGGGGGTGGGGAAACTAGACATCATTATATGAAACCACTTAATATACGAATTGTTTTACGTATGAATCTCTGCTTTTTCAACAAGTCATTATCATTCCCTTTTAGGAAGAAGTGTTGATCTCATTATTCTTGGGATATAAATCTCACTCAATTAAAACTGCAATCCTATATGGAAGATGCTTAAGACTAAGCATCCCATTGAACTCAGTAAGATTTTAAGAGTAAACAATAAGATGTTTGCATTGTAAATCCTGCCTTGGATGCTCAACAGCAGGTAGTAGCAGCTTAATCTTGAAAAATATTTCCAGGATTAAATCTAGTTCATACTGAATGGAGACCATTGGAAAATTCTACAGCAGTAGGCTAGACTGGAAAGTTGGAAACATCCCATATCCTGGAAAAAGGTGATCACAAGCCAATGCTGTGTTATTGCTTGGAGCAGAACTTAACTAGGTCTTTACATTTAGTCTTCTTGAAGGAGAGCGCAATCAACATATCAGATTACGTATTAGGTACTTGAATATGCATTATTTTTATACTAATCTGTTTAAGACTGATTTTCAATGTACATTTTGTATACAGACAAATGTATTTTAGTTGTTTACCTCTTTGCATCATTGGAGATGGTTGATTTAACAGAGTTGCTAAACCATGGTAAATAGCTCCTTGTTTTGCCACTTCTAGTGTCACTACTGTTCCTGTTCTTGTCATCAGTTCTGCAGCTCTGAGTAAGAGTTTGAAAACATAACAGTGAGTTTGCAAGAACCAGTAGTAACAAACTATTATAGGGCAAATTTAGAACCATTCAATCAGTAGAGAAACTGTACACAATGAATACAAATAAACTATTTATGGGAATCCAATAGAGCTGTTTACAAAACAAAAAATTATTTTGTTTTAAACCCCAAACAAACACATCAAATTCTTGTCATTCTAGCGAATAATTTCAAACTGGCTGTAGTTCAAGAGAAATAAAAACCAGAATCTTCCTGTTGCTTTGGGTTTTGGCGAAAACAAAACCTGCAGTGGACCTGGAGTAATTTTAACAGGTAAGTAGGAAGGTTTTTGCACACTGTCCTCTCTCACTTTTGCTGCTCAGCAGCTCCCAGCATGGCATATACCAGGAGCCTGTACATCTCCTGATCTTCCCAGCGGCTTTCCTTCCCTCTCATTTCTGCCTCCTCTCAACCATAGCTGCTGATGCCTTTGACATTTTTCTGTTCTCTTCCCTTTCACACAACCCCTCCCCCAATTCTGCCTGAAACAACTGCATTTTGGTCTGTAACTGGAACAGTAAAGCCCTGTTCCATTCCATATCTAGATCAAATATTAATGTTTTGATTTGGGTACAAACCACCTGAAACCAAATGTTCAGTTTTTATTTAATTACGGGAAATAATTATATGCCCAAGACTCATTAATAAGCAGTGAATATTTATGCTTATTAGGAACAAGAATAAGTTCTTCCATTATGTTTGAGTTCTAATGAGGCCCTTTGGATTCCTATAAGGAATATCACTGCAAAAACAAGTGGATTAACCTATGCTACCTCTTTTTCACAACGCTGCAAATAGAGCTTATTCTCCTTAAAATTCTAGTAGTGGTGCTACAACCTACAATACAATACTCAAATACATTATCTCCTACTCACCAGGTGGACAGATATGAGAATTACCTCTCTTTGTATTTCAACAAAGCTTATGCTTCATGCATTTTATAACTTCCAGAGTCACTGTAAGCTATAATGGTGCTTAAAAGTTTGTGAACCTTTTGAATTTTCAATATTTCTGCATAAATATGACCTAAAATGTGATCTGTTCTCCGCACAAGTCTTAAAACTACATAAAAAGAACACAAATGAATGAGTCAAAAACATTGTACTTGTTTATTTGAAGAAAATGATCCAAAGCTACATATTTGTGTGGGGCAAAAGTATGTGAACCTCTAGGATTATCAGTTCATTTGAAGCGAAATTAGAGTCAGGTGTTTCATTAAATGGGATGATAATCATGTCTGAGTGTGGGAGGTCCTGCCTTATTTAAAGAACAGAATTTGGGGTATTCACTATCAAAGTCTGATCTTCACAACACAAGTAAGTGAAAGTGTCTCATGGCTCAAAAAAGGAGATTTCTGAAGACCTTCAAAAAACAGTTGTTGATGCTCACCAGGCTGGAAAAGGTAACAAAATTATTTCCAAAGAGTTTAGACTCTACCAGTTCACTGTCAGGCAGATTGTGTACAAATGGAGGCAATTCAACACCACTGTTACTCTCCCCAAGAGTGGTCGATCAACCAAGATCACACCAAGAGCAAGGCGTACGTAAGGCGTGAGGTCTCAAAGAACCCCACTGTAACATCTAAGGAACTACAGGCCTCTCTTGCATTGGCCATTGTCAGTGTTCATGAGACTACCATCAGGAGAACACTGAACAACAATGGTGTGCATGGCAGGGTTGCAAAAGTTCCACTGCTCTCCAAAAAGAAGACTGCTGCTGAAAGATCATGTGGATAAGCCAGAAGGCTATTGGAAGAATGTTCTATAGATGGATGAGACCAAAATAGAAATTTTTGGCTTGAATGAAAAGCATTATGTTTGGCGTAATGCAAACATTGCATTCCAGCATAAGAACCTTACCCCATCATGGTAGTAGTATCACGGTTTAGGCCTACTTTGCTGCTTCTGGACCAGGACGGCTTGCCATTATTGCTGGAACTATGAATTTTGAATTGTACCAGCAAATTCTACAGGAAACTGTCAGGACATCTGCCCATGAATTGAAGTTCAAAAGAAAATGGGTCATGCAGCAGCACAACAACCCAAAACACACAAGTAGAACAACCAAAGAATGGTTAAAGAAAAGAAAGTTAACATTTTGGAATGGTGAAGTCAAAGTCCTGACCTTAATCAGGAAGGAACTGAAGTGACCAATTCATGCAAGGAAGCCCACCAACATCCTGGAGTTGAAGCTGTTCTGTAAGGAGGAATGGGCTAAAATTCCTCCAAGCCAATGTGCAGTACTGATCAACAGATATGGAAACATTTAATTGCAGTTATTGCTGCCCACATACTTTTGCCACACACAAATATGTAGTTTTGGATCATCTTCCTCAATAAATAAATGAACAAGTATAATTATGAAAATTCAAAAGGGTTCACAAACTTTTAAGCACCATTATATATATCTATACTAAAAATGTATTGGTGAAAATGATGCATTTCAGCCTTTATGGCATCACCAATAATACATTTGAGCTACGTTGGAGAAGCATAAAATAAAATAAATCAAAAGAAAAAAAATATATAAAAATCAACAAGTTACACCTGTTTTATGTAATGCACAAACATCTTCTACTATGTTTACAATCTCAGGAGAGCATGATATACCTTTCTTGAGAAAGTCCAACCAAAGTGCGCCCATCCACACTAAGCAGCTGATCCCCTGCAGCCAATCGACCATCCTGGTTGCATGTTTGATAAAACAAAGTTACATCATTTCATATGACATGAAAACAGATTAAATACAGTTTAGAAATATTTGATATTAAAACACGAAATTAAACACTTTTTAAAATAATTACAAATATTACTAACCACATCTGCAGCGCCACCTTTTACCACAGATTTGACATAGATGCCAAGTTTATCTTGACCAGCACCCTAAAAAGATATGAAGCAATTAAAAAAAAATGGACAAGTAATTCTGTAATCATAAAGACATTTTATAAGAGAGTGATCTGATTTAGATTTTCTTATTTCCAAATATCCATATATTAGATCACAACAAAAAGTTTTTAAAAAGTTGTAGCAACCTTAGGGACACAACAAAGTGAATATATTTAACTATAAATAGTGATGTAGAAGATATACACTTTTTAGCAACAAAGAAAAATAACAGCACTGCTTAACAATGAGTGATGCTGGGAACTCAAGTTCAGCAACCTCTGGAGGGTTATGTTCCTCCCAGCTCTATTTTACACATTTCCACAGAATTTACCACCATCTTATGCACTGTCTAATTGTCAGTAGTAAAGCAATCTCAACTATGTATAGAGCACTTTTACAGACTTTCAAGAATTCTGGTAAGGACAACCACTACTGCTAATCTTGTATTTCAGACTGGAGTGGAAGAAATTACATATTTGGAAGTTAGTTGAAAAGTGGGGGTAAATTATTCCTACCTGCTGTTAATTCAGACCTTTAGCAACTAACTATACTGTATTTATTTATTTAAATTTGTATGCTGCCCATCTCCCCCACAGGGTGACTCTGGGTAGTTCAGAGTTAGAGTAAAACCCAAAAACAATTAAAAAAAATAAATACCCACATTAATTAATTAAAACTCGGACTATATCAAAAAAAACCTGTACATAAAAAGACTAAAAACATTCAGGATGATGGCGGGGGGGGGGGCTAGAATCAATTACCCCACAAGCCACTTCCACTGATGCAAGCCCCCATCTGGTCCCCAGGCCATCTGGCATAGCCAAGATTTCACGCTCTTTCATGAGAGTGGGGGCACACCGCACCTCAGGTGGTAAGTTGTTCCACAGAGCGGGGGCCACGTATTTTGGTTACAGGCATCAACTACTAGGAATTTCTTTTACAGAAGCTGGATTGCAAATAGTAACATTTGCATTAGAGTTGCTCCTTGCTCCAGTATTGGTGATTGTATTAGCCAATGCAAACACTTAATTCCTGAACAGTCCAATTCTGTATTAAAGGAGCTTTCCAATAACATATGCATATGCTTCCAACAATGCTCCAAATGCCTTTAGTCAAAGAATGGTATATGCTGCTGATGCCTGTGATGGTTGTCTTTTTCCATCGAGTGTACAGCTTTGGGAGAGACACGTGGAATGGTGGGGAAGAAGGGGGGCAGTTAGATCACTTGAATCAACCCTGATGATGAATGGGTTGATTACTTTCAGAGAGAAATTACTCTCACAGCCACCAGATTAGAGTATTCATTAAAGGTTTCCTAATACCTGTTACCACTGGAATAGATCATCTCCCATGATGGTTTGTGGATTCATATTTCATTTAAGATAATGTTCAGCAAGAACATGATTCTGCTTTCCTAAAACATTTTGACATTTCAGGTGAGTCCAATAAAAGGGTGGCATTGCAGAATAACACATAACTCAACATTTAATAAAAGCATATAGGAGGAGGGTTGCCTGCAGCACCCTTTGAAGATTCATGAAGAATATCTCTAAAGTATTTTATTAGAAATAGGCAGCACTTTGGATTTGAAGAGTGGTGGTTCACAGCAAACCTGGTAAAGGGCATTGTTCTTTTAAGGAGTTGCTGATAAGGCAGTACACAAGCACCTCTGCATGCTCCAAAATCATTTTTGTAATCAAATCCAAAGTATAGTATTGCACAAGCTTTGCATGTCCTTTTCACTGGGCAGTACTGTAGGGTAAATTTTGATTTAACTCAATTGAGGTGGTGGGCTGAGCGGGATAGAACAACAAGGGGATGTCCATAAGCAGAAATCTCATGTGTAACACTGGAGATGAATTCCAAGTAGCTTGTACACTAATGGCCAGAGGTATTCTATTAGGAATGTTTTAATGTTACAATGAAAAAAAAATGAACATTTACATGAACTCTCAGCAGTTCAAGAGACAGAGAAACCAGTTCAAAGAGTTGGGGGGTTTTTTGTAAAAAATTACTCCTTCCAGAATTGAATAAGAAAAAGGTATAACCCCACAATTTTTATAAAGCCCTGCTGTATCCCAACTTAATACAATGTAAAGATTCAGAATAGCTGCTTATAAATGGAAAATATCCTTCCATTAGAAGTCACTTTACCAATTCCTACTTCTTCCTGAAAGTCTGTAGAGCAAGCTTTTGGATGGTGCAAGGGAGTAGAGAGGAAGCAATTCCAGTGAAAATGGCCTTTCCCCACTTTAGTGAGTGGTTATGTAATGTGAGTGGAATTCTACTATTAGATCTCTGCACTGAACTGATAGATTTTCAGTAAAGCCGTATTTCCATCTAATGAGCTCATCTGCTTTCCCAAGTATGTGTACTATGGCCACTTATCTCTAAGACAAAAAATAAGTGATTAAACACAATATTTCCAGCTTCTATATATTCTTCAAGAGAGGCTGTTAAACAGAATAATGTGATAGTATTAACTGAAAATTTTGAGGAAGACAAGCAGGCAAGGTAAGACAGAAATCTCAGGATTAAAAAAAATCAAATGTGATCAAACACTCCTTTAAAAAAGAGGAAGGTTTAAAGTCAAGTGCAGTGGTACCTTTTCTATGAATTGGAATAGAAATAGGGCTTCAGGTGTCAATGTTAAACAGAATTATTGTGGGTATACCTACACTTGCCTACAAATAAGCATCCCTAACATTATGATGTTTCCTGTTATAATTTCCTAGTTTTACTGTTCCATAAATAAACACACACACGTAGATAGATACAGACAGAAAGACACCTACACACACTTATATAGCACAGATAAGGTTAAGCTTTTTTGTTCGGCTTCTTAAGATTATTTAATATAAAATAATGTTCAAGTTTCCCACTGAGTACTATTATTGATTTTTTTAGCTCAAATGCAGTACTTTTCTTCACTGTATTAATCAGTTTAAACTGAATTTTTTCCTACTATTACTATTTGAAAAGTATATTGGATTCTAGTTCTCAATATCAAGTATAAACAGGAACAGTACTTAACAGAGAACATTTTGACTTTCCTTGTAAAAAGTAACTGACAAACCTAAAAGCAGCAAATGTGATCAGCTAAAATTGTGTGTTTAGGCCAGCTGATCTTTCAAATAACCTGCTGTCAAGACATTTTAAAATGCTTTCTAACATCAGAATCAAATGATATCAACATTTATTTTACTTACATGAAAATTTATGAAATGGGAACATTTGCAGAAGCCTGTTAATTCTTTTATTTTTTTTTAATGTCAAGTTATTACTTTTTTTTTTTTTTTATAAATCCAGGATTTGAATAGTACTTCTATTTTATCAGATAGCATGAAAAGAAGTGCTTAAATTATGCATGATTTTTCAATAGTTAATGTAACAATTGTTAATAACAAGTTACAGAGATTAAACCCTGCCACTGTATTTCTCATTTACTATCAGATAATAGGAACGTGCTTTATGTACAATTCATTTGTGATATTTGTTTTTTTAATTGCCATAGCTACAAGTAGAGAGTAATGTTTATAACAGCAGTGCTCCATACATTCATCTGCCAAACAATTTTAGACTAACTGGAAGTTTAGGAAAAATACGAAAACTTTAAGTTTATAGGGAAACTTTCTCTGAAGAGACTTACCGAGGATTCTGTTCTTCCAACGACTGAAAACCACATTGTAACTCCAGAAAGTGTAACTCCTCACTCGTTTCTTAGACTTTAACCACAACTTTCAGTCTGCTAGATTTTCCAAAACATCCAGCAGGATAATTTGGCTAGGCACTGATACTGCATAACATCTACCAACACTAGCTAAAATCGATATAATAGTCCAACTCTTATAAAGTTTTGCTACTCTGATTTTCATTTACAAGCTTTATTAAACTGCAGATACTGCCTGGAATAATCAATCAGTCTATTGTACAAGATACAGAAAATCCAAATTAAACAGGAAGTAAAGTGCTGGCTCACAAATTTGAAGAAATCAAATGCTAGCCCCTCCCCTCCTTCCCTCCCTCCTTTCTTCAAGTGATATATTTCTAAAGTAAACTGCATGCACACACTGCTTCCAAATCATCTGGATTTCATAAAATGTAACCATAGTGTGGTTGGAAGTTAAGCAGCATTTAACATCAAAACATATTTTAGACATAATATTACTAAATGTTGCCCTCACTCTCAGAGCATTATTATCCCTGATCCCCAAATAATTCAATCTCTGCCACCCAAAGTGTACTTCTTGGTACTTTTATGGGTAAGCAACCATCTAAGTATCAGCAATGAGTTTGCCACTGGAAATCATTACAGCAAGAGTAGGAAATACACTCAGAACAATACTGGGATTATAGCTATTGCCTTTCAGCTCAGAATGGCTACGCTCAGAACCATCATATCGAATGCTAATGCTGTAAACGATATGCTAAGAGTTAACAGAAACATGGCTGGCTTTATGGATGTTTGATCCAATACCACATCCCTGTCATCTACTGTTAATGATAGATTTAGTTAATCCACTGTTAACTAAAATGTGGTTGGGGGGCCGTAGTTATTATTTCAGGCAAATTATGAATTAGAAATATAGTCTTCCTTAGCAGTGAAGTAAGTTTACGCTTCTCCTTCAAGAACAATTTCTAACAGAAAGTTTCGACTGATATATACAATTTAATTTCAACTGATACATACAGTTTAATATAAATTTAAACATCACAGGAGAATCAAAACTGAATCTTGGATTCTGTTCCTGAAAATAATTCTGGGCCAAGGTTACAAGGATCTGCTGCAGAAATATCAGATCCCAACTACAAAATTAATTAGGCAAATACAAATTACACAGTAGTAAGTTATCAGCTAAAGAATAAAAGTATGGATTCTATGATATTCTATGATATTCAGGAAGAGTGTGAAATCTTGGCTATGCCAAATGGCCTGGGGGCCTGATGGGGGCTTGCATCATTGGAATTTGCTCGTGGGGTAATTGATTCTACCCCTCCCCATCTTGAATGTTTTAGTCTCTTTATGTATATTGTCTTTTTATATAGTTTGATTTTTTTAGCTAATTTAATGTGGATATTTATATTTTTAATGGTTTTTGAGGTTTGATTTTAATTGTGAGCCACCCAGAGTCACCGTCTGGGGGAGACGGGTGGCATATAAATTAAATAAATAAATAAACAAACAAATAAATAAATATTGACACTCATAAAAAAATGAAACATTTGTATCTAGATGCCTTAACTTCTTGTCTGCACCTTGTCCAGATTTTCATTTGCACCTTATGATCTGAAAAGGAAGCATCCTGTAAGACCTAGCAAAAGGATTAAAACTCACAAGCAATGCTTTCAGCAAACTTCCAATGCATAGAAATACTTTTAGAGAGCTGTCAAGAGGAGGGAATGGCAGAGAAAAATAATAGAATCTCATACGGAATCTATAAAATTCTAAAAATGGTTCTACTCATACAACCAGCAAACAGAAGTCTAGACAAATGGGACAAAACTGTGCTTCTTGTCCCCAGTTTGTCAGGTCATTTTTCATAAAACTCTCTCCCTGAATCTCACCATTCCAAACACAAGAAACAATGCCGTGATTAAATTGGTTAAAAATTTGGTTAGTTCAGAAATTTGTTTTAAACGGCACCCAATAATTTGCATCAGGTCAGTCCATGACAAGCCACAAAGTCAACAATTTAAAATTGCCAGATATTTGCTTGATTGCTAAAATGCCATTACTGAATATATGAAGGCCAATGACATCCATTTGCAATTTTTTTCTTCTTTTAACAAAACAAAGACAATTTATTTAGCACTTAAAAACACCATCTCTTTAGCAGATAGTCTGATATGTTTCAACTCATTACAGAGAACATTTAAGAGGCATTTTAAATACTTAAGCTGATTATATATTAATCCTGTTAAAATTGTAAAAGAAAAGTACACTTCTCACCTACTAGGAAATATGTAGTTTAAATAAGTTTTAATTCTCTTCAAGAGGAATTTTGGCTACAAGAGAAAAGCAACCCTGACTCCCTGCTGAATCTTTCTCAAAAACTTGCTTCTTGGGAAATAAAGAGAAATTAATCAATTAGTGATCAGACTAATAGAAAAATGAGAATTTTAGGGAGCACGGAAGAAAATTATAACATAACAAGCTTATAAATTGTTCCACTATCTCATTCTACAAGGTAATTTTTCTCTTGTTTCAAAAAGGCTAGTGAAATTGTTTACTTGTTAATAATAAATTACAGTGGGAACTCTTCAAAATCAGGCACTTAGGAAAAAAGTTAGTGATGACCTTACCAAGTGTTCTATTTGCATCTTAATGCAAAATACTCAGTGAATCAATAGTTTCTGGGACAAACATCAGTAAATGCATTTAGTTGGTACACAAAAGCAATATCACTGCCAGAATAATATTTTGAAATTATTTACACACTGTTTAGGACAAATAAATGTCAGACCAGCATCCATGTGGACTTTTCCTCTAAATACCAATAACAAGAAATTTCATTTATGGAACTTGATAATTGTTTGCTATTTATTGCATTCCTTGTTAGATTTATATTCCATCTTTTCTCTGGGAGCTAAAAGCTGTGTACATAACACTTAGCCCTCCAATTCTCTTTCTCCACAAAACAAACCTGTGAGGTAGGTCTGCCTGAGAGAGAAACTGCTTCCCAAATATCCACTAAGCTTCCATGACTGAGGGCATACCTGAATCTGGATCTCCCAGGTCCTAATCCAACATGTTAATGACTGGACCACACTAACCCATTATTCACTTATAGAAAAGTCACAGAATTCCTTCCTTCCAAGATTTCAGAATTCTTACATATCCTTTCAAAATAACTGAGAGGTAGGCCTGGTTATCTGCAGCAAAAAAACTATCACAATTTTCTTTTAGAAAATTCTCTGGTCCATTTATCTCCCCATGCTTTGGTGAGACTGCAGATATTTTTGTGAAAAGTCAGAAATAAACTTCTTCACAGATATGGGATTATTTTCAGTATAAGATGATCAATTCATGCTGTACTGCCTACAAAACAGCTCTTGTTGAAGGAAACATACAGCTCCTGTATTTTGGCTTCACTTCTTAGATGTTAAAAATCTGGCTTCCACTGGCGCATTACAGCTAATATTTTTATTTTTTTATTTGTTGGATTTCTCCCCCACCCATCTCCCCCACAAGAGGGGACTCTGGGTGACTTACAAAAAACATTAGGACTATAAATATATCTAAAACACATAATACATCCAGAATTAAAATATGAAGGCACCTACAAAGTTTATAGCATTATCTACGCCAAATAAATAGAAGCAGAGATTTTTCTTTTTTTAATAATACCTCTATTAGAAATAAAGCTCAAACTTGTTTTCTATATCTCCCCAGTATTTTCCTACATAAATCAAGCTCTGCTACCACAGATTCTTCTAAAAAACATTTTCCTTCTAAGAACTAAGGATATGATCCCACAAATGAAGATACAATTTACAGAATAATCTGAAAAATGAAGTTTCAAATAGCACATTGCATTAAGGGGAGCTTCATTTTTAGTTACATGAATTTAGTATTTTACAATACTGGAGCAGTGCACCATCTGGTGGCTGAAGACTGGTGAGTCAAGAATTCAAATTAGATTATGCTAAGATTGCTACAAACTCGAAAATCATGGCCTACTTTCTGTTCTCTTTCATTAGTTAGTGAAAACTTTTTAACAAAACTATGGCAGACTTCCACCTCACCAAGTATTTTTTTTCAACTTTTAGGTGCTATGGCTGCCTCTAATGTTTATTCATATTAAGCTTCATACATGATCTATTCTTATCACTTTGAGTGACAAGTTCCATATAAGTAAATCATTTAGTACCTTAGCAGCAACTATGCTTAGTCCCATCCCATTTTGTTTCTTTAGTGTTACAGTGATTATTTCAGGTTCTTTCCTCAATGGCTGAGCCTGCAGAAACAAAATAAAAAGAAAATATTGAGAACTGGGTAGACTACTTCCTGAGAAATAATTTTGATTTTTTTTTTTACATTAATGTATTCTGCTAGTTGTTCCAATACTAAAGAATAAGAAAAAATCAAAAGTGAATACTAAGAGAATGGTTTTTCTCTTCCACTGTAAGAAAAAGTTGGAGAATCCTGCATTCTAATTTTTAAATTCTTCACCATCATGCAGATTAGTATAAATCTGGTATTTCCTGAATAGTTTAAAGTATCTATTTTTGCCATCTCCCCCACAATATGAATACTTGCCAAATCTGCATTGTCTTGTAACAGATGGCTTTCATAATCTGCACCTTCAAAATATATTGTCCAAGTTCCTGGTGATCGTGGATGAGGTGTTAATCTGCAAAACCCTAAATGAAAATGTTAATGGATAACAGGACTTATATTCCATATGCTCAAATAAGGTAATTAGAAAACTAGAGAGACCGCCAAAATTCACAAAGGATTCATTATTAAAAAAAAAATAACATTGGGCATCAATCTGGTAAATGCATTTATTTAGTTGCAGTTTTTGTCACCTACACCAAACTCTGGGTGGCATATAACAGAGTAATAAGAATATAGGAGAAAACAGAAACTAAAACTGTCTAGTACATAAAGATGCCCCTCAAGATGTATGCCATAAAATAATCAATTTGGGTTAAAAGCATGGTGTAACAGAACACAAAGAAGGACTGGGCCTGTATTAAATTAACTGTAGTTCTAGTTAAAAATTCTCTTCTTAAAGCATTCTCTTACTTAATTTCTTAAGAAGAATCTTTTTGCAATATGAAAAAGACTGATAGGCAATTCTCTGTGAAATTAAAAGAACAGGAACAGCTGAAATCATGCTTACACAAGAAAAGCAATATGTGTTCTGTGTTAACATTAGAACTAGTTCTTTTTCAACAGGGAAGATTTCCCAGCAATCTGGTTGTATTTTTACAAATCATTCTGCCTGCGATTATGTTTCCAATCAATTTCCCTATTTCTCTCTTAAAAAAAAAAAAACCTGTGTTTTACATACACTGCTTCTAGTTGTTGTTGCACTAAAATAGGTCATGTGGTTCGGTAACTTCTATATAAATGCAAGCTTTAAAAAAGCTAACCTCTTTGGCAGAGCGGATCTAAAAATTCCTGTAATCCATTTGGAATGTTTCGGACAACATCACACGAGTAACCATCTTCTGGTAGAAGAAAAGGAAGCTGAAGATCAGGATCCTCCTCTAATTGTACTTCTCTACCATCACTACGAGCTAGTTCATCAGCAGTATTTTCTGCAACAGCTACAACATTTTCTATTAATTCCTGGTGGAAAGAGAAAAAATATACAGCATTATACACGGAAATCCAGGCAAGGGAATTCTGCATTTTAGCTGCCTGAAGTTACTTTTTTGAAAACTTATTTTAGCTGCCAGAAATAAAGACATTATAAAAATAAACCTACAAACATGTTATTAATTGATCCAGAGACCAATGCATATATTCATTGTTCAGTTAAGAAGAATTGTTCATTTGGTAAGATATATTTCAGGAGTATTAAATATAAGGAAGAAAACATAGATTTTTAACTTTCAGTTTGAATACTTAGCATTAGTGTGGAATTTTTCCCATTTTCAATAATTCATGATCAAAAAGAATTTTGAATTTTCCAAAGAGAATTCCCATTGCCAAAAAAAAAAAAAATCACCTAATTTATGAGTTGGCCACATTTTCAAGGTCTGATTTTGATCATGTGATCTTATATCATGATGATGGTGCCCTGCCCAGAAAAAATCCCAAACGTTCACCAAATCTCATGAGGTTTCAATAATCTCCTTCTAAAAACTCACATGAGGAAGCTGAAATTATATCCAATTTACCAATTTGTTAAATTGTGAGCCTTTTAAAATATACATTTAACATTTTTTTTAATCTGGACTGCAGTCACTGTTCTAGGAAACAGATAAGCTAAGTACAGATAGTCCTCGCTTAATGACCCTAATTGGGACCAGAATTTCCATCTCTATGTGAAGTAGTTGTTGGGTACCACTTAGCAACAACAGTTCCAATAGTCTCAGTTGGAGTTATTAGGCCAGGATAGCACTGTTGTTAAGCAAGGACCTCATGCTTCTCCTGGCAGCCCTTGAATTTTGATCACATGACCACAGGGGCACTGTAATGGCTGCAACTTTGAGGACTGGTCATATCTACCATTTGTTCAGCACTGTCATAACTTCAAATGGTTGCTGAACTGGTCATATCTACCATATGTTCAGCGCTGTCATAACTTCAAATGGTTGCTGTACAAATGGTTGTTAAGCAAGGACTACCTGTAATCATAATAAGTATCAATGACAGAAAATACAAGCAGCTGTGCTGAAAATGGATCACTAAGCAGAAGAGATAAAATCTCAAACCTGAGAACCATAAGATCCTCTGAACAAATAGCCATGTAATCAACAAAACCTAGCAGAACTATAAATAAAACTATAAATAAATAACATGACCATGGAGAAGGTCTTTACTTAGCACAGAAAATACTTTCAAGTTGGATATATGAGTTGCTCTGGAAAGGGCATTCCAGAACTCTCCAAACAGTTCTAATTTTGCACAAATTTACAAGGTTTCTGATCTCAATAACTCTACCAGTTGTGAATGCATAATTCACAGGCAAGCATTCAGATTTATTTTACAGGTAGTCGGCACTTACCAGCCACCTGTTCACCGACCGTTCAAAGTTACAACGCCGCTGAAAAAGGAGACTTATGACCTGTCCTCAAAGTTGTGCCTGTTGCCGCATCCCCATGTGATCGCAATTCAGACGCTTGACAACCAATGCGGCTTTGCAACTGTTGCAGAATCCTGCAGTCACATGATCACCACTTGCTACCTTCACAGCCGGCTTCCAACAAACAAAGTCAATGGGGAAGCCAGCAGGAAGTCACAAGTTGCAGTCATGTGACATCGCACTTAACGACCCACAGTGATTTGCCTAACAACTGCACCTGGAACTGACATCATAAGTCAGCAACATCACATATTTCACTTAATGACTGCACAGCTTAGTGACGGAGCTGCCGGTCCCAATTGTGGTCGGTAAGTGAGGACTACCTGTATATTCTTTGTAAGAAGGAAAAAAACCATGTACACAATAAAAGAGACCACCAATTAAGAACTATGTTTCTAACATCAGTATTAACTTCCTTAAGTAAAAGTTTTCATTCACTGTCATGGAACTTCCACTGTATTATAGAAACTTATGTTTAATGCCCTTCAATCAACCCCCCAACCCCCCAAAAAAGAATTAAAAGATAAGATTAACTTACTGGTGGGATAAATGGCTCATCTGGGGCACAGTGATAATTTTGTAGCAATGCATGCAGTTGTAGGGAATTGAGCTTAAAACAGGTACTATTAATACTAGGAATGTCTTCAGGAGAATACTTATCCATAGTAAGTAATGTAGTTGCCTACAAAGAAAAAGGATGATTATAAGCAGATTCACCTTGATATTAACGTATATAGCAGTAGACACTATAATATAGATAAAATGCTTCTGATTTAGTACTACTTAGGTTCATCAAGAAAATATTGAAACAGAAGTGTTACTTTCATTTTGGTTATGCTTTATCTTCTCATTTTTTTCTGCAATCAGTCAGCATGCCATAACCACTGGGCAGATTTATATATATAGCTTGTTGATTTTGTCTTGCCATGGACTGGGTTAACACCAGACTTCACATAGTGCAAACCTAATCACTAAAAATGCTTGAGTTCTGTTTGTTCCCCACCACTTGGGGATGTTTATGAATGAACTTCAGCACGTATATGTTCGCTCCCAGCTAAATTAAAATAGTATATCACCACATTTCTATGGGAAGCTGCCACTTCTGTCTTGAGACAAATGGCAAAACGATGCAAGAGGGCATGCACATAGTACTGATCTGCAATTTCAGGATTATGCAGGGTCCTGGATCCTATAACTAATTGTACTCAGTATTGCAGAACAAATTTCTACTGAAAACTGTTTTAAGGAAATTATTGATAAATTGAGTATCTCCAACTTTGCACACAGTTCATATATATGATTTAAAAAATCTTTCTTTTTTCACCCAAAGGAGAGTTAATAAAAGTGGTTCACAAAACATGAATGTCATATAAACAACATATACATCAAATGGCTGTTTAAATAAAATCTTGTTTTTTGCTAAGAGAAAACACCAACAAGAGGCAGATCTCCTAATTAATGAGGGCCATGTGAGGCCAAGAGACATTTAAAACTAAATATTACACAACATCCCATGTTACCATTTAAGATATTTGAAGCAGTAAATAGTACTTGGGATTACCATGACATCCCTTCTGGTTGCCAGAAGATGGACCCAATAGGAAAGGGTTACCAAGATAACTGTCCATTAATATATATTGGTAGCCACAGACATTACATTGAAAATTGTGCTGCATGACTTCCGTTTGCTAACTAGCAAGACCTCATTTTCCCTCATCAAAAGTTCCCACATTCTTCACAGAAATACGAAGTGGGCTTGAAAGCCATTCAGATTAGCAGAGACCAAGAGTGTGTCTTTGCCTGAGTTCTGACTGTCAAGAAACAGGTGGAAGAAATTTTCCTGCCCAGGTTATAAGGGAGTCTACCTCTGTGTCAGCAAGATATCAGATAACTGCCATCCTGTCACACTAAGATATAAGCAAGAAAACTGTTTCATCTCTGCACTATGTATGTAGAAGAAGACAGTAGGATCTGGTTATATTGTTCAAAAACACTAGCAGTGCAGAAAAGCTCTGATGCAAATCCCTCCAGTAACAGAAAAATGTCAATGAAAGAAAGAAAAACACCCTTGAGATAAAGAAGAAAAACAATTCCTCCAGAAACTTCCATCTTTAACTGGAATGTGACAGATGTGGAAAGGATGAAGGGGCTTTGTCTGAAATTATTTCACTCTGTTTGTATACAGAGCCACACAACAGATAGAAAAGATAGTATGTGGCCAAAGTGGCCTATGTAGACTTAGCCAGCAAATTACCAAAGGCATACACCAATTTAGAATCAGCATAGCTTCTGCACAATGCAACGCGAAGACAGTATAGAGCAGAGTATCAAATACAATCTAAAGCCTAATTATACAATAGTCTAGAAGAACAGAAAATTAGTAACATAATGAAATATACCAGATTCATCAACTTTTGGGAACAACCTATTAAAACTGCACAGATAAGACATCCATACTTAGACAAACTCCTAATAGTTTTGAATATACAAAGGGAAGCATCAAACATTATGGAATCGGATCACACTATACAGATTAAATATTAATAGCACTTTCTGAAATCTACTCATAAGAATTATATCCACAACTAAATAGTGTTTAAGCGCTCCCATCCCAATATGTGATGGAATGGAATTATGAAGGCCATACTCAGGGAGAAAAACGTTTTTTTTCAACTACTGAGGTGCGAGGGAAAGATAAGAGGATGAGAATGGCACCTCC